TTTTTTTTTTTTTTTTTTTTTTTATTTTTGTTTTTTTTTGTTCTTTTCAAATTCAAATTTCAACACTGACCGCGCGTCTTTGGCTCGGAGCTTGCGGGCGTGCTTGCGGTTTCGCGCGCTCGATTCAAAGACAATGGACAAGAGAGGCGCGAAAAGTGAAATTGCGTAGTTGTACTTGCTCGCGTGCCCCGTAGACGTGTGGTGCGGACGGTGAGCGGCGAGCGACTGCTGGGGGACTCGGTGAACCGAGGCCAGCTCCGGATTCACACTGTCGGAGCGGCGGTCGCGGCGGCGTGACTCTCGCGCTCTCCACCCCTCCAACTCCCCACTCCCCGGCCACGGCCATATGATGCGCGCTCTCCCCTACCTCGCCGAGATGGCGCGCCGCTTTGAAAATGTTGCCTTCTTGCACTCTCTCCCCCCCTCCCCACCCCTCGGGAGGGAAGAAACTATGTGGATGATGCGGTTCTGTGTGTTTGTGCAGTGCAGCGAGAGAATGCGTTGGGTGCATCCGTCTCTCTGGGCCCGTATGTATATATATACAGACATTAAAGGTATATACGGATGAGGTGCCGTGTGTTCGCCACTGACCGCCGCCGTTTTCGAGTCGCCTCTTATTTCCCAGCAGCTCGAGACCCCTCCGTATGATCTTGCCCCCTCTCCTTATACACCCACGAGGTTGCCGCACCAGCATCTCTCTCTCTCTCTATGACGATACAATAAAGAAGAAAAGAGAAGAATCTCTCTCTCTCTCTCTCCTCGGCTCTTCCTCAGCGTGTGGATCGTATTCTATTCTCTTTGGTTCCCCTCCGATGCTCATCCTCCAGCTCGCGCTGATGCTGGCATTTATAAGTAAGCGCTACATACAAGAGGGAGAGAGCGGCTAACTGGCGCTCCCTCCTCCTACTACTACTACTACTCCCAGCAAAGGAGCCTTCGGGGCTCTTATACAGCCGCCGCGAGCTTGAGGTGAATTTTGCGCGCGAGTAAGAATATATATGTGTATATATATACGTTTATAGGTAGTACAATAGAACTCGAGGATACGATGCACCAGAGCGCACCGACTTCCGCTTCATTTGAATGAGCTCGACGCTTGTAGCCGCGCTATCTCTCTCGTGGATATGTTCATGCTGTGTATATGGTCGTTGTCGGTGCGAGAGCCGCGTTTTATCCACTGACATCGGGGCATCATCCTTTTGGACGGCTGAGCCGTGCCTGCAGTGTATCTCCCTATTACTTTTCTTTGTGTCCCGGGGAGGGGAAGAAAAAAAATTTTTTTCTCCCACTATGTAACATTATGTACGTGTGTGTATATATGGGTGCGCGGGGAGAAAATCTCGTTCCCTCGTTGAAAATGGCTTTTCCGAGAGCCTACGCGTGTATAGGTAAGGGAGCCGGAGTTAAGTGGAGTCATTGATCTATTAAATGAAAATCTACCGAGGGATTTGATTTTTGTTTATTTAACCGTGAGCTTGCGGCCTCCCTTTTTTTTTTTTTTTTTTTTCTCCTTCTCGTTCTTCCTTTGGACAGCGTTTTTCCAACAGCGTAGCGAAAACAACCCCGGCTTTTGTGCGCGCCGAAAAATCAAAAGTTTTTCCAAGCCTGCTCTCTCTCCCTTTGTGCGGTCTCATATTTTTTTCTTT